AACCTGAATTTTTTGTATTATTTCTTACAAAAGAAAATAGAGAAAATTAAGGTTCCCTAATAAAATATAGAGAAAATTAAGGTTTTGTCTGTGAAGTTAAAACAAAATCCAGATTTTCCTATGAAAATACAGAAAACTCAGGTTTTCCTACGAAAAAATAAAAAAAAATGCGAAAAATACAAAAAAAAGAAGGTTTTCCTCTTAAATAAAAAGAAAATGAAATATTTCCTAGTAAAATACAGAACTAAGGCCCAAACCCTAAAAATAAAAGAATTCCCAAAAAAAAAAAAAAAAATCCCAAACAAAAATGCACCTCCTTCGAATATTCCAGGCCTGTCCTCGGACAGGTTGGAGGTGTGTAAACGACTTCATTTTCAGGTTCTGGAAGAACCAGTCTAAGCAGTTTGACGTCGCCAAGACCAAGGTTCTACTGAAAGGGTACTCAGAGGTCCAGTGGGCCCAAGACCCGAGGATGTTCGTGCTTCCCGAACTTTGTGATTTAGAAATCCGTGACGAAGATGGAAAATTGATCCAAGTTTGGCAGACGGATTTTCAGTGGGCAGAGTTGTTTCCTGTTCTCCAGGCCATCAGACTACTGTGATCAACAGTGTTGGACGAATGAAATCTGCCAACGAGGTGGTGCGCAAGTTGCTTGAAGACCATGAGCTCGCAGTGCCTGCATCTCTTGTGGACTCTAACCATTCCTCTTGAGCTTCCTCGGCTTTAAAGATCACGCGAGTGCAGACCCCATTGCAGTCGAGATCTTAGCACAGGCTGTGTCTGCCGCGGAAGTGTCGTCATCAATCAGCAGTGTGCAGTTGCTGAAGCTTTTTAGTGCTGTCAGAGCTCTCGTTGTGAATTTCCAAGGGTTTGCACAGGATATGGTGCTGACAGCTGCTAGGTCCTCCACTATCCCCAGATATTTTGTCGCACATAATACCAAGCCTGCTGCCGCTACGAGCATACCACTTGAGAATTGCTTGAGGCCGTCTTGGTGTTTGACAGCACATGGCTCCCACCGACATGTTTCTATGCGCATGCCCATCCGCATGACGCTGGCCAGGCAATGGAGACGGCGGCGAGGTTTGGGGGCATCAACAGTGATCGTCCGTTGCGCGTGATGGGATTTGC